ACTCCAGAATTAAAGCAAGATGAGGAACCATGCCCAGAAACAGAAGCAGGACTTGATAATGGACTAGTTATAAATAGAAAACATCAGATTATGTCTATTAATGTACAGTACCAAATGATACCAGTAGTATTGAATTTAACAATTTTATATTACCACAGCAACTCTGTCATGCAAAATGTGTGTGATTCTATATGCAAATTATACCAAACATGGTGCAATATTTCAGATAGTCAATGGATGGGGTGGAATTGGGGAAAATGTTGTGGCCTGAGAAGGGAGAGAGTCAGGAGAAGAGAGAAAAAAAGAGATATAGGAACAGTACTGGGAGTTGGAGCATTGGGAACTTCAGCATGGAATCCCAGATATCACAGTAGCACTTTGAATGCTCCCTTGAACTGTGTATGAACTATGTGTTATGCTAAACAATCTGTTCCACCTTGTATTCAGCTGTGACACTCTGAGTACATTTCCCAGATCTGAAGAAGAGCTTTGTGTAAGCTCAAAAGCTTGTCTCTCTCACAAACAGAAGTTGGTCCATTACAAGATATTACCTCACCCACCTTGTTTCTGTAATATCCTGGGACCAACACGGCTACAACAATGCTGCATACAAAGAATCTCTTGAGAGGAGTGTCTCCTGTCCTATGCAGCCATAAGCATTCATTTCTTAGGGATCCTGAACATCGGGAAAGAGCACAGAGCTCTCCCATGAACTAAAAGCCTCAGGAGGCTTTCCTTCCTGTGGCTTAATATTGGGACAAGGTACTCCTCTTCCACATAGGGATTCTGGACCCAATTCTGTCACATATTCAGACATTATTTTCAGAACAAAATCAGAAACAATGGCCTCTATTACATTTCCTCACCATCCATTTATTGCCCTATGTTTCTGGGGAGAAGGAATAAATACAAAATAAAATCCTGGAACAAACAAATCAACGAACCACTGGTAACATAAAATGAAACCCAATCAGACTTTTTAAACCCTGAAAAGAAAGAGGACCTAAAGCCCCCAGGAAGCTAAGAAGGGACTTCACTGTTGCTATTAAGTTCACATGGAAGGGGTTATGATTCTGTAGCAGTAGGTGTTACTATACAATAGACAGAGATATGCAAAATAAGTGACAAGCCTCCAAAAAGTCTCTTCAGTAATGTACACAAGACCAAACATTTTTTAAAATGTGTATAACAGTGTAGTGTTCCTCAATGGAGACTGTGCTACATTCCAGTGTCCGGTACATTTTTATGGGTGAGTTATAATAAACTCTTGGATGAAAAACAGGGTGTGGGGAGAAGCAGAAGGGAGCGAGAGCTGTAACTATCTGCAGGGCCTTCTAGTTTTCCACGATTCTGTGCCCACAGAAATTCATCGTTCTTCTCCCTTTCTTGCATTCCTATTGTGGATGCGAATTAATTTATTTACAAATGTTAACACATATCTACAAAGACCAAAAGAAAGGACCAGAAGGAAGCGTGAGAGGCACATAAAGGAGGTGAACGAGTAGGCAGGAGGAAACAGACTGAGAAGGGGAAAGACTTATTTAAATGATTCAGTATAAAATTAAGTTACCATAGTGACTGCCATTCACATGGTCGAGGCATATGCTGGCTATTGGACCCTGCTCACCTTCACAAAGTAGACACACGTTTGAGACATCGTGTAGTTGCTTGTGGTGGATCAAGAACTGTCTGGCAGAAGCTGATTATAGAGTTCTCAGCAATGGGCCTGGTTTCCATAACGGCCTGTGCCCGAGGCTGAAGGAAGCTTTTTGCTTTCTGTAATATTTCTACAACAAGATCCAACCACTGTCACTCTCTGAATATACAACTATACAGATCTCTACCTCTTCACACCTTCACACAATCACTAATTCATCCTCACCGTCCTCCTGTGAAACAGACCGGTTGCATTATCTCTATTTCACAGATTGGGATCATGCCATGGTTAAGTGACTGGCCCACGAACACACAGGATTAGCATGGTATTTGGAGATTGCTAGTTCTCATTATTCTGCACTACCGACTAATACATGCAACTAAAGAAACATTTATGACATGGCACAAACAATGTAACAATTTCTCAGATAACCACGCATACCGAATTAAAGTACAATTACCAGTCCCTGTCAATTCAGTAGAACACTTCCGTTAAGAATCTATATTTGCTAGTTACTCACTGTGGGAGCTGAACAACATATGAATTTCAGTCTTTAAGAAGCCTATTATACTACAGATTATTATATTTTAGTATTTGGAATCATTGCTCTGTGATTTGAAATATAATTTCTATGATAGCTTTGTTGCCAAACTGAGCCTCTCAATTTACAGAGATCTGGGCTGTGAAATGTGAAAGGAATGTACGAAGACATTTTAAAAAAAATTCTTCCAAAGAACTCTTGTCTAGGAACAAGGCCATCTAGTAGCACCAATTAATTTAGCTGTTTTCAGATTGTCTTATTAAAGAGATTGTATGAGTCATTTATATATTTATAAAGATTTAGAAAGTTCAATAGGCATAATTTAAAACTGTCCCCATTGTTTTAGAATATGTCATAGAATCTAACTTGCCATTATTCCAGGAGATGAAGAAGGATGTAAAATGACTCTTGTATCCCAAAGGGAATTTTTTGCAAAGAATTCAGCTCACAGTGTTTAGTGTTTCACAGATTCAAGAGCTAATACAGAATCATCACCTCCCCGTTAGCTAGTCAACAGCAGACATACTTTTACCCCTTACTAAAATTAGCACTAACCGTAAAGTAGATCACTAACTAAACCAAGAAGTGTGAAAGAAAGATACTTATTTACTGGAGATTTAGGCCTATCCAGTGGCAGTGCTAATCTGCACTCTGTCAGTTTTTATAGGCCTTTCCCTAATCATTCTAATGTATGATATAAATAACGGCCCAAACAACCCCTACCTGCAGCATCTTGTCTAGGATTAACACACTTTTCTTATGAACTTTAGGCCAAAATTTGCCCTGTGCCCCACTGAAGCTAACCAACTTCTTATAGTTTTTACTCTGATTATCTGCAATTTACTTCATAGTTTGGGGTTCATATTTCATGCCACTACTTTTCTCATGAAACGAAGCACTAAAACTTCTCGGCATGGAGTACATTGCTCTCCATTTTTCAAAAACTGGATTTTCCGAGAACTCAGTGGTAGGTTTTCATCAAGGCACAAAGAGAATAAATAAGCAATACAAGCTGACAGATATTCGCATGCTGTGGTCCCTGCAAGAACTAGACATTTGAGGAAATGTTTTCAGCAACATTCCTCTCTGGATTATCTACTCAGAGCTGAGTAAAAGCATTAATAATATTGAATCTTAGCTTGAGTTTACACCTTTCTACCCATGAGCCATGACAAATGATGCAGAAAAACATTTGCGTTTTACATCAGGACATGACAACAGCAGAATGTTTATTGTCTTCATAGGGCTAGAAGACCTAAGTGATTTAGGAGTGCAAGTCCTAAAATTCCACCTGTAAACCTTACCTCAAGGACTTATAAAAACAGTTATTTATATTTAAAAAAAAAACATTAGGTTTCTGATGGGACTATATTTAGAATAGCAGAAATCAGAGATACAAAAAGTCCCATTGTAGCATCTATCCCATACCCTTTTCAGTGTAGCTCTGTTCCCTGTAATATATTTTCTATAGCATTATCCAGTCTATTTTAAATGTACTGGGCCTGATTTTCCTCTCACTTACACTAGTATAAACTGGGAATAACTCAATTGAAATCAAAGGCATTATAATACGGGAAAACTGGTGAGAGAGGAGAATCAGGACCATTATTTTTAGAAATGTCATCCTTCTGGAACCTACAGTATGAAATACTGATTGATATGCTCAAATGCTAGTTTCTGATTCAACTATAATCTTCCCAGTTTATTTGCAGAAAGGACTATAAACAGAATGACAGACCACATACTGCAGATGGGAGCAGTAACACACAATCTGCATGATGCCCATCAAAATCTATGGGGGTCAAATAGTTAAGCCAAGCAAGTTTTACAACTTGCCCCCCCCCACCCTCCAAATGGGTATTTCTGAGTCTCTAAATGCCAAATCGGTGCAAAATAAACTATATTACCATTTCAACTACATGTGCAATTTATACTGTTGAATTTAGCCCAGTGCATCCCCAAAATAGTAGTATAAGTTAAATATGCAATGTTGGAAACTGATTAGGGGCATGTGCCATAATGTGTATGAGACAAAGAATTAGAAATATATATCTTCATGAGTACATTTATAGTATATATAATACAGATACATAAAGCAAGTTCCTACAATTAGTATTCTGAATATTTTCTCTTTCCTTGTATTTTTAGATGAATCAGATGCATGTTTAGTTAGCCTAAAATGTAAGTAATATTTCACTGATCTTTTGCTTAAAAATACAGATGGATTCAATGTTATCCATATGCAAAAAGTCACCATTCCTGTGATTCAAAGTCACTGCATTAACTAGTTAATGAAACTGTTTCTAAATCTCGAGAGCCATTTTGATGCAAGTAACTCTCCTAAAGCTCATGAAATTACTCCATGGCCATGCCCAGGAGTTGGAAGATCTGGGTTGTATTTCCTTACTCTGCCACAGTCTTGTTGTGAGAACTTGGGCAAGCCACTTCACTTCTCTCTCTATATAACATTTAGAAAATGTGGAGAATACTCACCAACCTCATACAGGTTGTTGGATTGTAAAGCTTAATTCCTGTCTATGAAGTGTTTGGAGATCCTTGGATGGGAGGCATCATAGAAGGTAATGTATTATTAGTAAGATTTATTATAATTCTTCAGTAACGGGAGACAACAAATGGAAAACAGGCTATGAAAAGCATTTCCCCATTGCTGCCTTCATTACACAGTTAATGCCTGCAACATACCTGGCATTACATCAGGGAATTTTAAATATACAACCATTTTCTCTTATTCCTATTTGTTAGTTCACAATGACAATTGAATTGCTATGTGAATAGGATTACCTGTAAACTAGTATATCATCAGAAGAGCTGTTATACTGAATCTGGTACATTCGTATTCCAGGGATATGATGCTGGGAAGGCCACTGTATGAGAGCAGAGGATGAGGTCAGCTCAGCAACCACAACCTTCTTCTCTTGCTGAGCTTTAGTTTCATTAGGGAAACTTGACTTAGCAGATATAAGAATGTCTGAAGGCCCAGACTCAGCATCTTTATCACAGTTGGTACTGTTAGCAAGATGAGGATAAGGATTAACAACAAGTTCAACAGAAGCTGTAGACTCTCCTGCAGCATTCGATGCTATACAGGTAAATGTACCTTTTTCTGTCAAAGAAGTAGTCAAAATATCCAAAGTTCCATTCTCATAGGAAATTGTCCTAGACGTATTGGAGACCAACTTCCCTTCAGGGGAGATCCAGCGAACATAGGGATCCGGGTCACCGACTGCTTTGCACTTCAAAGAGACACTCTGACCCTCCATAACCACCAGTTTTGGCGTTCGATGTGTTATCATTGGAGGTTCACAGACAAACTCCTGCTCTTTAATGGACCAAAAGTACTTGGCCATCAATTCCGGTGGTGAGGCACATGTTTCTAGATCATCTTCTCTGGTAAGGCGTCTCAGCCACACTAATTCACAGTTGCAGTGTAGAGGATTCCCTCCAAAGCTAAGCACCAGAGAGGACAATGGAGACCCTTTAGATTTAGCATACACAGGGATCCTGGAGAACAGGGGATCAGGGGGAATTTTTTTCAATTTGTTGGATGTCATGTCCAATCGAGCAAGTTTGTGAAGGTTTGAGAAGATTCCTTCTGGAACAAACTCAATGAGGTTGTGATCCAAACTGATTGTATTGACATTAGAAAGCTTTCCAATTGTATCCCAAGGAATATTAACAAGATTGTTATATGATAGATCCAGGTCCTCAAGTGTTTCAATAAAGTCATCTAAAGATCCAGGAGAAATATAGTTCAATTGATTGTTACTTAGTATTAAGTGGCGAAGATTAATTAAACCTTTGAAATGATCCTCATTGATACAAGTTAGTCTGTTACTATCCAAATGTAATGCATGAAGGCCTTTAAGATCAAAAAATGCATAAGGCATGATTTGACTTATTGTATTTCTTGATAGTGTCAAGTGAATAAGGTTTGTCATGTTTGCAAAATCCTTTCTTCTAAGTGTGGTGATGAAGTTATCCATTAATCTTAGTTCTGCTGTTCTCCTGTCAATGCTGGGGGGCACAAAGAGAAGCCCAGTCTTCGTACAGAGGATGGTGAAGGATGGAGATAGGTTTTGACACATACACCGTTTTGGACACATCATAGCCTTCACAGCAGTGCTAATAACCAATAGATAGATAACCAGCCTTTCCATTGTAAGAAAGATAGCAAACCTAAAGGAGAAAACAAGAAATCCAGATAAAGCCATTTTAATAACAAAAACTTTGAAAGACCATTTACATCTAAACATTTGTTATAATTATGGCTTCTGAATAAATCAGACATGCAATTCTAGGCATTACTGAAATGACTTAATTGAGAATGTTAGCCTGGGAATCTGCTGAGCTAAGCCATTAAAATTCTTAGCTCACTTGATCTGGTTATCTTATCATAAGAACTCACAGGCCTGATTGTAAAGCAAAAGTACATTGCTCTCTGAGGTTAACAGAGGTGTGATAAGACTGTACAAGAGGTCTGCTATTTGTGGGAACTGAAGCACTGATCTTGAGAATCAATTACCACTCCTCCAGGATCTAGCTCTTCACGGACAAGCATTAATGATGGCTTTGGAGGTGACTTGTCCTGCCTTACAAGTTAGAAGGAAATGTTGCACAATCGTGGTAGCAAGTGAGGTAAATACTAGGGGAAAAAAAATTGAATGCTGGGGATTAAATAGGATCTATTCATTTACAGGGACCTGAAGCATCCAGAGGTAAAAGTTCTCTTTCTCTCCACACACTTTGTTTAGGAGATGTTTTATGAGCAGACCAAATTAACATTTTTTTTTCATATTAAATTAGATTTTATGTTCTTCCTAGCTGGGGCCATGTCTGTGAGTGATACAGCACTTAGCACAATGAGGCCCTGATTCTGACTGCAGCCTATGATTGTCCACAATACCAGAATGTACAATAACCGTAAAGGACAAATTACGTACAATGGGCTGCACATCCACTGTCATAAATAAAAATCCGTCAGTAACCACTCACAGCAAGCGTAATAAAAATAAGACTCCTCAAACCTTCACTCCATTTCTTTCCTAAATGCCTGGGAAAAAGACAGGCTTTGTTAAGAAGGTTAAGAAGATAAGAATGGCCACACTGGCCTTCACAACATCCCTTAGCAATGAGTTCCACTGGTTGATTGTGTGTTGTGTGAAGAAGTACTTCCTTATGTTTGTTTTAAAACTGCTTACTTATTAATTTCATCAGGTGACCCCTCGTTCTTGTGATATGTGAAGGGGTAAATAACATTTTCCTATTCACTTTCTCTACACCATTCATGATTTTATAGTTCTCTATCATTCCCCCTTAGTCATCTCTTTTCTAAGAAAATCTCTCCTCATATGGAAGCTGTTCCATCCCCTAATCATTTTTGTGCTCTTCCTTGTATCTTTTCCAGAACTGCATGCAGTATTCAAGGTGTGGGAGTACCATGGAATTATACAGTGGCATTATGATATTTTCTGCCTTATTACCTCTCTCTCTCTCCTAATGGTTGCTAACATTCTGTTAGCTTTTTTGACTGCTGCTGCATATTGAGTGGATGTTTTCAGAGAACTATCCATGATGACTCTAAGATTTCTTTCTTGAGTGTAACAGCTAATTTAGACTCCATCATGTTGTATATATAGTTGGGATTATGTTTTCCAATGTGCATTACTTTGCACTTATCAACATTGAATTTCATCTGCCATTTTGTTGCCCAGTCACCCAGTTTAGTGAGATCCCTTTGTATCTCTTTGCAGTCAGTCTTGGACTTAAATATACTGCATAATTTTGTATTGTCTGCAAACTTTGCCAACTCACTGTTTACCCCCTCTTCCAGATCATTTATAAATATGTTCAATAGCACTGGCTCCAATATTTACTTCTTCCCATTGTGAAAACTGGCTATTTATTCCTTCCATTTGCTTCCTATATTTTATCCAGTTCCTGATCCATGAGAAGTCTTTCCCTCTTTTCCCATGACTGCTTATTTTATTTAAGAGCCTTTGGTGTGGGACTTTGTTAAGGACTTTCTGAAAGTCCAAGTACACTATATCAATTGTATCACCCTTGTCCACATGCTTCTTGACACTCTCAAAGAACTCTTAATAGTTTGGTGAGAAATGATTTCCCTTTACAAAAGCCGTGTTGACTCTCCCCATCATATCATGTTTAACTATGTGTCTGATAATTCTGTTCTTCACTATAGTTTCAACCAATTTCCCTGGTACTGAAGTTAGGTTTATTGGCCTGGTATAGAGACTGATTTAAGCTACTGGTTACGTGCCATAGTTAGTAGGCCTGGAATTTCATATTTGAGTTACTTCAGACTCTTGGGTGAATACCATCTGGTCCTGGTGACTTATTATTGTTTAATTTATCAGTTTGTTCCAAAACCACCTCTATTGACACCTCAGTTTGGGACAGTTCCTCAGAACTGTCACCTAAAAAAAAAAATGGCTTAGGTGTGTGACTCTCTCATATCCTCAGCAGTGAAGACTGATTAAAAGAATTAATTTAGTTTCTCTGCAATGGAGCGCCTGACTGTTTGCCAGGCTTTTCTCTGAGCGCCCCACTAGCACCTATATCATCCAATGGCCACAGTGATTGTTTGGCAGGCTTCCTGCTTCTGATGTCCTAAAAATTTCTTTTGCTGTTAGTTTTTGTGTCTTTTGCTAGTTGCTCTTCAAATTCTTTTTTGGCCTGCCTAATTATACTTTTACACTTGACTTGCCAGAGTTTATGTTCCCTTCTATTTTCCTCAGTAGGATTTTACTTCCAATTCTTAAGGATGCCTTTTTGCCTCTAACTACCGTGGTTAGATGTTGATAGATGTTTGGCTGTGTGTGTGTGTGTGTGTGTGTTCCCTCTGTGTGCCACCCCAGCCCTGCACAGACAGTTGGCACGGCAGACCTCGAGTGAACCACCCAATGACCATAAGATCTGTTAAGGAACGAAGGCACCTAGCCAGGTTTATTGTCGACGAAGTATGGTACTAGTATCCTGCAGACTCTACTGGACCACTAATACATGTATGTCCGTAACAATGGACCAGCTCAGTGAACCACGGGACTTTCCGCTACACAAAGATACTCCGAGATACATCTTTATACCCCAATACAAACAAGTTAGTACTGCCCCCTGATGTCGCTAGTTATTACCCATTATTTTGTACATGTTGGTTTGATCAAAACATCTCTATTATATACTGTCATCCTGACCTTATCTTTTAGGAGGCGTCAGTGTGTTCCTGTTGTTCTTGGGGAATGTTTTTGTACCATCCTTGATATTGGGATGTTCTGGTATCACTTGATATCGGGATGTGTTTGCATGAGCACTCTGTGACAGCACCTCTTACCGTGTTTCCCCGAAAATAAGACAGTGTCTTATATTAATTTTTGCTCCCAAAGATGCGCTAGGTCTTATTTTCAGGGGAGGTCTTATTTTTCCTGGAGCTTCGGGGCCTTATATTCCGGGGTGGCCTTATTATCGGGGAGGTCTTATTTTCGGGGGATGTCTTATATTACAGCGAGAGGCAAAACTGGAAGTAGGTCTTATTTTCGGGGGATGTCTTATTTTCGGGGAAACAGGATAGGAATGTTTCTGCAATATCAGCCCTGTTCTTGCCAAATTCTGTGAGCAGATCCTGCCTCATACCAGGCCTCTGATACAAGGACTTATGTATCAGGCTCTCTTCCTACTACAACTACCTCTTTTACTCTGCTTTTTAGCCTTATTGGCATGTTTTCGGGCCTCCTGCTGGGTTTTTTAAAAATTATTATTTGAGGTATACATTTAGTTTGAGACACCGTTATGGGCATTTAAAATAGTTTCCATGAATTTCCAGACATTTTACCCTTGTGACTGTTCCTTTTAATTTCCATTTAATTAGTTTGCTCATTTTTGTGTACTTCCCCTTTTTGAAACTAAAGGCTACTGTGATGAGTTTCTTTGGTATTTTCCTGCCTGCAAGAATGTTAAATTGAATTACATTATGATCACTATTACTGAATGGTTCATCTATATACACCTCTTGGACCAAATCCTGTGTCCACTTAGGACTAAGTCAAGATTTGCCCAGCCCCTTGTGGATTCCAGGACTAACTGCTCCAAGAAGTAATTAATTATCCTAGCTGATCAGGAGTTAGTTCCATATCTGGAGCACTGGTAGTAATGGGAAAAGATAAAATAAGTTTTAAAATAATAACTAGTACAATGATGATACTACTACTCATAATGAATTACAATAAAATAAAAATAATGTAAATTTTAATTGATAATGTAATTAAAATACTAATTCAGCGTTAAGAAAATATATTTTATTCAAATTAAATTACTAGGTCTCTATAGTACATTGTCAAATGGGGAAAAGTGAAAAGTTGTAATATTCTATTTAAAATCATTTTTAAAGGTATATCTGAAAAGGACAGAATTCCAGAAAACTTCTTTCCAGAAAAAATGTAGTAATGTGCTATTAATATATCACATATATTATATATACACACCTCTACCTTGATATAACACTGTCCTCGGGAGCCAAAAAATCTTACCGCGTTATAGGTGAAACCGCGTTATACTGAACTAAATTCTAATATTTACCTTATTATGATCAGAGGCAACTTGTATCTCATTTTTCTAACAACTTTCTCTTTAGTAATGTCTTTTTTCATAATGATTTTTCCATCGTCAGCTTTTAAAATATTTAACATAGTGCATTACTAGCTTCATTTTTCAAATATTTGCTTTTTTTGACAATCCTGTTTTTATTATCACTCCATCTTGCGCTCTGCACCCTGCTTCTCCCTAATGGCTCCATCTTTTCACTTCCATTTGGCATAAATGATTAACTGATGTGCAATTATCTAAAAACAGGCGGCAATGCAATGTTATAATTCCCTTGTTTTGTCATTAGCAAATATTAATGCATTTTAATGGATTAACCACCATCTGGGCTACAAGAAGCCAGTGTGTAACCATCTCACTTAAGCTATTATTCTGTTAAAAATATAATTAAGTGTTGTTAATGTGAAACTATGGCACTAAACACAGGTTTCAGAGTAGCAGCCGTGTTAGTCTGTATCCGCAAAAAGAACAGGAGTACTTGTGGCACCTTAGAGACTAACAAATTTATTAGAGCATAAGCTTTCGTGGGCTACAACCCACTTCTTCGGATGCATATAGAGTGA